GATGGATGGGTGGATGGGTAGGTGGATGGGTGGGTGGGTGGATGGATGAAGGATTGGATGGATGGATGGATGGATGAGTGGATGGGTAGTTGGGTGGGTGGGTGGATGGATGGATGGATGGATGGGTAGTTGGGTGGGTGGGTGGATGGATGGGTGACATGTATTTCATGCTTCGCAGCCTTATCATATAAAGGAAGGTTTTGCTTAGTTCTATGCTCATCAAACATCCCTGCCCCATATTCCAGTGATAGGTCTCTGCTTAAATGCCACTTCCTCCAGGAAGCCCTCTGTCACTCACCCCCACCAAACATAGCCAAGGGCTCCTCCTCTCCCTGGGGTCCCTCATCCCCTGAACTCCATCCAGCCTAGCACTTCTCACATAGCTATGCTACTATTGCCTGTTTAATTGTCCGCCTTCCCCACAAGGTCCCTGATACAGATCTTGCCTGCTGTTGACTCCCCAGCATTCGCACAGTGCCCAGCACATAGGGAACTTAATGAATATCAATTGAACAAATGTATAAACTGGGGTACCAGAGGTTAGCTTAAAATAAATGTGAAATTTCATTGTCGTCCCATGGGTTAGTCCATGTGAGTTGGCATTTTCATCCATAAAAATACATGTGCATTTGCATTTTCATCCGTAATGTATCCTTATTTTGACCTGAGAGTAATGTTTTCTCCAAGAAAGGTTGAGTAAAATCCACATCTCGTGAAAAACCCTGTAGCTCTATATGCCTCATGGCTCATAGCCAAGGCAGGTTCACCCAGTGGCTGAAAGAACAGGTTCCGGACCCAGGCTGCCCGGCTTCAAAGCCAGCCTCCTTCACTTACAAGTTTCACGATCGTCGGCAAATTGCTGTGTGTCTGTTTCCTTGTCTGTAAAATGGGACAAGGAGAGTCTCCGGCTCGTGGGACTCTACGTGAAACAGAAGGGTTAACACATAAAAGTGTTAGAAACGGCAGACAGGGAGTACATGTCCCCAGTGAATGCCACAGCAGGTGTCCCACAGACCTAGTATGGGAAACAAGGGTGGACAGGTGCCTACTGTCCTGACCACGACTTTTGAAGTCCCCTGAAACTAAATTCTCTAGAAACCTGCTGGCAGGAGACTTGAAGGCCTAGGGGTTTCGGTTACCTGTAAACACAGAGTTCCTTTTCCCGTTCTGCCAGTGGCTACAAAGGTCACTTGTGGCTTCTGGAACCTCATGCTGCCAGCCATCCTGCTGTCCAGTGACTCATCTTCTCTGCCCTAGGGCCTCTCAAGAGAAACACCGAGTCCAGCTGCACAAGGAAAAGGAACAGAAGCCCAAGAACATGACCCAGATGTGTGACATCTCAGTGCAGATGGAACCCGTCCACACTGACATTTTCTCGAGCAGTCAGGAGGTGAGTGCCGTCCGGTCGCGGGCGGCCAGCGGGACGTGCTACACGGGAGCCCAGTGGTGGCTGTCTTCGCTTCTGATAGTATTTTCATTCCGAGTTCCAAATGTAGGCACTTGCTTCTGTGAAACGTTCAAAGTGCAAAGCGGCCGTCCGGCCCTCCAACCCCCCCCCCAACCCCCCAGTCACTGGAGGTCACCGCTGCCAGTCGCATGCTATTTGTCACGTTGTGTCCTCAGCCCTTTGCCTCACAGAGACTGCCCTACCCTCCAGACAGGCGTGGTCGTGCGGTGCTCGAAGGCCAGGCTCACATCCAGGCTGCCCGGGTTTCATCCCTGAGTGGGACTCCTTCACTCGCAAATGCTGACCCCAGGGAGGTTACATGTGCCGTCCCCCTTGTCTGGGAAGCAGGAGTTAGGACAGCCACCACCCCACGGGGTCATAAAGAAACAAATTTGATTTATGCACATAAGTACACACAACCTATACATACATGTCTATATAATCTGCTTGCAGAATGATGGTATTAAGCCATACGTATATATTCATTCTGCAACTTGTTTTTTTCCCCACCTGACACAATATAAAGGCCACCTTCTCTAGTAAGTATTTAAAAACCTGCTTCGTTCTTTTAAACGAGGGCATAGAATTCCACGGTGTCCCTTTTATCCAGCCCTGTCCCCTGTTGGTAGACATTTGTACGTTATTTCTACTTCCACACGTTCCTGTAGTTGATGTCCTTGTGGGTATGTATGCAGAACAGATTCCCGGATGTGAAAGTGCTGGGTCCGGAGGGCGTCCTGAACCATGCTGGGTAGGGGCCAAACTGCCCTCCCAGAGAGCCACACCACTGACGCTCCAGGCCTGTCTCTCGGTGACATCTCTGGGGGTGCCTGCCTGGGAGCCCCGGCTGCACAGCCCCCCGCCGGCCCGGGAGGGCGTGTGTCTTTGAGTGAGAGCAGCCCATGCCACGCGGCCCCCGCAGGTGGCACTCACATTCTGCCTCCGTGGCGGGGGCCGTGGTGCCTCCCACAGTCCGTGGAAGCCTGACCACGGGCTGCAGTGGTTCCTCGAGGCCTCGGGTTTCCTGGAGTCCGGGGGGACCTCCTTTTCCCCTTTGCTTTAGGAAACCAGAGAACAGGGCGCTCCGGCAATGGGCTTTGGATTTTCACTCGGAAACGGGGCCAAATGTGTCAGCTTGCCTCCCTGCTTCCTCAAAGATGCCATCCCCCTGCCAAACAGCAGTGAGCCAGGACCGCACGCAGCTCGAACGAAAGGGCTCGGCGGCCCAGCCAGCTGTCCTTGTCACCGTCGCTGTCCAGCGCACTTTAACAGAAGTTAAAAGCCCTCGGGGCAGCCTCAGTGGGGCGGGGAGCGGGTCTCACTCCCGTCTCCGACCCGTTGGAATCCCAGGCTCTTAGTGCAGGACGCAGCCCATATTCGTTCGCTTTTCCGGCACCTACTGAACGTCTGCTGTATGCCAGGCCCAGCGCTGGGCACAGAGGAAGGCACACAGGGTTCCTGTTCGCACCAGACCCCCTCAGGCTCTGTACGAGTTTGCCAGAATGGGTTGCTGACCTGATGCCGAAATTAGTAATTTCTCTTATGTGGGGGGATTCACGGAAGAGGATGGGCGGGGCGGGGGCGGGGAGGCTGCAAGATAAAAGGGAAAAAGTATTTGTTCCTCCTCAGAATGGCTTTCCAAACTCGGGCTTCTTCCTGCTTTCTAAGCCAGAGTGGGTCAGAGGGCGTAAGAGTTGTATGAGAAAGAATCTTCATCTTCTCTAAATAAACAAATTCCCAGAAGAGCCATGAGTAAGGGTCACATCGGGCTCAGACATACTCTTCAGACAGAATAAAGGCTGTCACCCAGCCTCGCTGCTGTGGCTGCCCCAACCCCCAGGTCAGTAGCCTCTGCTCTCCTCTCTGCACCCCTGCACGTGTGCACACACATATCACACACACACACACACACACACACACACGACATTTCAGGTGTTTACTCCTGGGCTGACCTACACTCTCAAATACAGCAAGGCTAGTATAGAACCAACCTAGGAAGAGTGAACCAGCCGTGCAGTCTATAAGGAGGCTGAAGACAGTATCCAGGTCAAATGAGGTCCTACTAAGTGCAGACGGGTGGAGCACCCCCTTCTTTTTTGCTGGTGAGCCTGGTCCCGGCCAGAAAGCCAGGACAGGCTCCTTCCTACTCCTGTTTCTGACCTTGGTTCCTTCAGTCTCCGTAACTATTGCGCGTCTACTAAGCTGGGGCACGGGGCTGGACTCTGGGAACACCACTGGAGACGGGACTTTGTTCGCACGGAGCCCGTGTGACACACGGGGGCTTCAGGGGGGTCCCGGAACCTCCAGAAACTGTATGCAAATGTTGTGTATATGTGACTTCCTCTGAAGGATGGAACCTCGGATTCTTCCAAATCTGAAAGGTAGATATGACCCTTAAAAGATAGAGAAGACCAAGGGGCGCCTGGGTGGCTCAGTCGCTTGAGTGTCTGACTTCAGCTCAGGTCATGATCTCAACAGTTTGTGAGTTCGAGCCCCGTGTCGGGCTCTGTGCTGACAGCTCGGAGCCCGGAGCCTGATTTGGACTCTGTGTCTCCCTCTCTCTCTTCCCCTCCCCTGCTTATGCTTTCTGTCTTTCTCTTGCTCTCTCTCTCAAAAATGAATAAACGTTTTAAAAAAATTTTTTAAAGATAGAGAAGACCTCTCCTTGTCTATGCCCTTCATCAGCCCTACTCTAGCTCTGTGCCTGGTGGCTACCATATTGGGTGGTGCGAATATGGAACATTCCCCTCGTCGCAAGAGACCTCTGTTGGACAGTAGAGGCTCCGGAAGTCTCAGGGAAAGGTTTTCCTCTCTCCAGACCAACCATGAGCCTGTCAAACTCCCCCCCGATCCTTGTTACCAGTCAAGAAGAAAATATCATGTGTTCTCATCCCAAAAATGCCCCTCCTGCAGCAGAATTTGATGGGATTATTCTGAAACAAGATCCGAAATGACAACAAATAGAAACCCAGGCTGAGCAGAATATTAGAATAAAATATAAAATGTGGGGAGGGAACATAGAGGGGGGTTTTATTTATAGATATGCTAAGTAGGTAAGACAGTTGAAAATCTTCCTAGATGTGACTTTATATTTGAAATGAAAATTTTAAATCCCTTCTGTGCCAAAGCCCCTTATAGTAGCTTCCAAGGTACTAAGTGACAGGGTCCCTACTAGCCATGAATTGTACGTGTTTCTTGGAATATAAGGGAGAAATTCTGACCCCTAATAACGCTGCTATCTGAACCATTCTGGCCGCAGGAATCCTTCAGTGATCTAGGGGCCAAGTGCAAAGGGTCCCGACATGAGGAAGTCATTCAGCGTCAGAAAAAAGCCTTGTCTGAACTGCGTGCACGAATTAAGGAGCTGGAGAAGGCGTCCTCAGCAAGTAAGTTCCCTCCCTGCTGGTCTCCCTCTCCCAGCTCACAGTCCTGAGCCCCAGACTCTAGGGATCACTCTGGGCGCCGACAATCAGCCAGGACCACTGTCTCCTATCCCCATCACTTCATAACCGAAAGGACGTAGTGATACAAGGAAAGATGGCAGGCATGGTCTCAGAGTCAAGGGCAAGGCTTGGTATTTAAATAAGTAGGATTTCGTGGAAAAGTCACTACGTTGTCCTCCTTTTTCTCATTTCGCTGTGGCCCGGCGGGAACTTGGTCATAGACTAACACTGCAAGGATCGGCCTTGGGGAACCTCCTAGAACACCCTGTTTAGAGGGGATAGCATTCTCAAGACACTGCTGGGGGAAGCGCTGAGCTAGGACCCAGAGGCCAGGGTTCAAGTTCCGTCCTTGCTCCTATAGCTGAAAGTTCACCCTCTGTGCCTTGGCACTGACACCTGCGAGGCCGCAGCCTCCTCCTAGCTGTGTGACCTTGGACAAGCCACCTACCTGTCTAGGCCTATTTCTCACCTGCCAAGGGAGGGGGCTGGAGATCAGCACCGGCCTACGATAAGGGTCCCGTAAAGAGCAGCTGTGATCATTACGAGCAATAACTTCTTCCCGACCCTTTCTTTTGACTCTCACTTACTTGTTTTATAGATCCTAAGGATCACCCGAATGAATCATTTCTAGACTCAAAGGCTGTCAGAATGGAAACAAATGTCCAGAAGACATCGGACGCAAAACGTGACGTGCCAGCTTTCTCAAGAATAGAGATCAGAGCGGTAACCAAAGAAAGTTTGTCCCCGCGGTGACTGAGACGTGGAGAGTGCGTGGGCCTGAGGGCAGACACCAGCCGTGCGCTCTGGCACAGCCGTGAGCATCAGAGGTTCAGGGCCGGCCCTCCGTGGCGGGCCAACATCTGTGCCGACCCCTCGGTGGCTTTGCCATAGCGGTGACCCCGTGTCTGGACAGAGAGGTTGCTTTCCGTTTGTGGCCAGCGTGGTAAACCCTTGCACTGACACTGAGCCAGGGTAATTGCTGGCGGGCCCTCCTTTTCATGTTATGTGTTCTGTTCCGCAGAAAATAGCTCAACAGGCTACTTCTTAACATTACGCCGTGAGTTTGCCTCAAGTGTGCTTTTCGTGGCGAACTGAAGAACACGAACATGTAAAGGGTAGCAGGAGGGCTGATTAAGAGGCACAGGTTCTAGAATCAGAGGGGCCCGTGTCAGAATCCCAGCCCTGCAAGCCGTGTGGCCTTGGGCGGGCTCAGCCTTTCTGGGACTCCCTTCCCCAGCTGGGAAATGACAAAGACTTAGAGGTGGCGGTGGTAAGTGCTTGGCCCCGCCACCTAGCTCAGAGCGAACACTTAATGAATTGTAGCTGTGAATGACGGTTCGAGGTATTTAAATAGCATCACTCAAGAAAACCTCCCTTTCTTAAGGGAAATGGTTTTATTTGCTAGGATTTTCAGAAGTGATTCGATTGTTATGGTGAAGGTGCCCCGTACCCTAAATGGATGTCTGGTGGGTGTCTGGCACGTGATGGTGGACAGCTCAGCTCGGTGTCACTCACGGGATCCCCTGGGCTCAGCTTGCTGCCACAGCAACAAGGATCTAAATTTTTTTGTTTTTAACGTTTATCATTTTTGAGAGAGAGACAGAGACAGGGACAGGGACAGAGAGCAAGCAGGGGAGGGGCAGAGAGAGAGAGACACACACACACAGAATCGGAAGCAGGCTCCAGGTCCTGAGCTGCCAGCACAGAGCCCGACGCGGGGCTCGAACTCACAGACGGCAAGATCATGACCTGAGCCGAAGTCGGCCGCTCAACCAGCTGAGCCACCCGGGCGCCCCGCCACAGCTGGATCTAAACCACGCACAGGCTTTTAGAAGAAATAACAGGGTGCCTGGTGGTTTAGTTGGCTGAGCATCTGACTCTTGACCTTGGCTCAGGTCTTGATCTCAGGGTCGTGAATAAAAGCCCCACATTGGGCTCCGTGCTGGGCATGAAGTCTACTTAAAAAAGAAAGAAAGAAAAAAAGAGAGAGAGAGAGAGAGAGAGAGAGAAAGAAAGAAAGAAAGGAAGGAAGGAAAAGAAAAGACAGAGGAGGGGAGGGGAGGGGAGGGGAGGGGAGGGAAGAACAAAATCATCCTATCTGTACCAATATTCCCCTGCGCAATTTTTCTAGACACTCGCTAGGAATGTGAGTCTTCAAAAATGTGTTGGCTTTCTGGATAACCCCCCACTGTCTGAGGTTGGAAGGGGAGGGACAGTCTCCAGAAAAAGGCAGACTCAGCTAAGAACATATCCTAACCTGCTTCCAAGATTTACTTTCGCCTTAGCCCTGACCCTCTCCAACCACCAACACCAGAGAGCAGGAACCGCCCCCCACACACGCACCCTCTCAGAAGACCCCAATCCTCCAAGCTTGGCAATAATAAAAATTAAAAGAAGGAGCTGGAGGAAGGCTGGCTGACATCTGTGAAGTGCCTCCTGGGTGCTGGGCACTGAGCTAAACTCTCATTTGTCAATCACCCCTCCCAGCGGCCTTGTGTTGGAGTTACTATCGTGCCCATTTTACAGACAGGAAAAGTCAAGACTTAGGGCGATCAAGTACGTCACCCAAGGTCACAGCATAATGCCTGACGGAGCCAGGACTGTGTCTGTGGCAGCCCGTCCCTAGCGCTCTGCTAGTCTGCAGACAAGGACAAGGGGACTGCGTGATTAAACCTTGTAGACCAGACTCTGCCTTAGGTGACCCTCCATCGGGGAAGAAGGGAACCGGAAGAGGGGTGCAGAGGACAGCGCCCAGAGCCGGGCACGCTCAGTGATGCTTCACACTCTCTTGCAGCAGGTGTGCCCAGTTGACTGTCATCAAGTCCCCTCTTTTACGCTCCTCGCTATAGACGTGGAGACAAAGAGTCCATGCTTTTCTATCCCAGTCACTTTCTGAGCTTTCCGTGTTTGTAGCTGGGCTTCCTTTTAATCTCAGGCGTTTACAGTATCGTGCCAGCAAATGCTGCGGGCCAAGAGATGCTCACGGCGAGCACTTAACCCAGTCTGACTTAACCATAGTCAAATAACTATGACAGTTATTTGTGGTCCGTCAGGCTCCCCGATCTGGCCGGTGGCTTTTCCGTGCGGTCCGTAGGGACTTTCAGCAGCCAGCTGGCTGATAGGGTCTTAGGGCATAGCTGCAAACACCCTTCAGCACTGTTTCTAAACAGCGTGGGTCTAAAGTGATGGCCGCCCACCAGGTTCCAGCACTGGGGGAGGGTTTGGCCAAATCGGGTGAGGCTATCGTCTCTGCTGCCTGAAAAGGAGACTCCTTTAATAAGAGGAGTCTCACTGATTCAACAAGCATGCCCACCAGGTGCCATTCTGTGCCAGGTACCATGCTGGGCACGAGAAACAGAACAGCGAGCAAAAGCAAGAAAGCTCGTCATCTAGACCGGGGTTTCCCGACCGGAACACGACTGGTATTTTGGGCTGGGTAATTCTTTGTGGCAGAGGCCGTTCTACGTACCGTGGGGTGTTTAGCAGCATCCGTGCCCTCGACCCCCTGCATGCCATTAGTACCCCCCATCTCTCGTTGCGACGGCTAAAAGCGTGTCCAGGCATTGTCAAAGGTCCTGGGGCACGCAGGAGAGGGTGGACAAAACCCCCTCAGTTGAGAACCACTGGTCCGGAGGGAAGACAGGCAGTAACCAGAGAACAAGGCAAGTGATGTGTCATTTCAAAGAGAGTCACAGTCTGAAGGGTAGCAGTGCAGTCGACAGAGGACTCAGACTGGATGGTCAGGAACCAACATGCAAATCCACTCTCTTAGAGTCATTCTTCAGGAACCACAGGGTGTTACCTCCAGGATGTAGAAGTTCACGATGGAATGCCGAGAGAGAGAGTTTTTACTTCTTTTTTTCTTTTTTTTCCCCCCAGCCTCAGAACGGCCCTGTCAACTCAGCCGTCCCGGACGTCAAGTCAGGGAAGATGGATGTGGTTGAGGCTTTAGATCTCAGTGAAAAGTTGGTACGTGCATCCAGCGTGGTCCCCCCTGTCCAAACGTGGGTCCCCTGCAGTCACTGTTAACCACCGGATAGGGTAACTAAACATGAGCCTCGCGTGCGTATTTCGTTGTTATAAAAGCTCTGCAGGACCCATCTACTGTCCCAGCGTGGCTCAGACTTTGCAATTCCTTGAAAAACTGGGTAGCTAGCATGAATGTTTATGTCTGTTGTCACTCTTCCCCCTGGTTCTCAAAAAGGCATAGCGTAAATGGATACGGAGGAAACGAAACGGTCGTATTCACTTCCAAGCACGGGCTCGTTCTCTGCAATTGCAGAAACTGAACAAAACAAAATTAGACGCTTGCCTCCTCAAAGTGGCCTCCGGCGGTCTCGCGCCAGGCCTCTTAACTGCCAAACGCTTTCCCCGCAGTACATGGACATGAGCGAAACACTCGGGAGCCTGATGAACATCAAGGACATGTCAGGTCACATATCCATGAAGTACCTCTCCCCCAAAGAGAGAGAGAGAGTCAACCAGCTCCGACAAAGGGACCTCGATCTGGTGTTCGAGAAGATCACCCAACTCAAGAGCCGGCTGGAGAGAAAAGAGGAGCTTTTGAGAGGCTACGAGAAAGACCTAGAACAGCTCAGGTACCGCCCGTGTCCCCGCAGAAAGGGCCAGGTGTCCGGTCTCGCGGCTGAACCTCGGGCAGCGGCAGACGCAGGTCCGGGACAGGCAGAGGCCTCGGGGGAGGGGGCCTGGGGCCCGACAGAAGCGAGTCTGTCTGCGAGAAAGCAGCAGTCGAGGGGGTCGGAGTTCATCCTGCCCTCTCTCGCCACGAGCGAGAGGCGCCTCGTACGAATTCTGACTCAGGGTTCGCCTTGTGTGCTTTCCAAGGCCCCGCCCTTTTTCAGCGGCCGCCGCTCCCCTACCCTCTCTGGGACACGGGGGGCTGGTAGCACGTAGGCAGCTGATGAGGTATCTGTCCTGCCCCGTGCACCCCAAATCTGCTGGTGACGAAGCCACCGAGTTAGCCGCCTAGGGAAGTATTCTGAGATTCTCCCAGGTTGGGGACGTCGGTGGCGAAGGAGAAAGATGCGGGCGAAAGAGGCCGTGTCTCTCCCGTCCGCTCAGGCAGAGCAAAGTATCCGTGCAGACGTACCAGTCACAGGTGGCCAAGCTGGAGGACAACATCTACAAAGAGGCCGAAGAGAAGGCCCTGTTGAAGGAGGCCCTGCAGCGCGTGGAGCTCCAGCTGTACCAGGAGAAGAGGTTCAACAGGGCCATCAGGCAGCAGAAGGTGAGAGGGCCCGGCGGGGAGCGCAAGCTCTGAGGCCGCCCCCTGGCTCCCTTTGGAAATGGCAAAGTGAGCGCCCGGGGTGGCCCGTGGGGCGTCAGACACACCCGGGTTTACACCCTGGCTCTGCCACTTGCTGTGTGACCTCAGGTGGGTTCCTTAACCTCTCTGAAACTCCTAATGTAGCTTATCCGTGTCTTCCTAACCAGTGGCTATTGTTTGTATTTTTATGGTTCTCCCAGGTGGTAGGGATACATAGATGAAAAAGCTCCCTGTGAATAAAGATGTGGGTTCACTACTCGGAGTGCTCAGCACATAGTTGACATAGGAAATATTGGATGGATGGATGGATGGATGGATGGATGGATGGATGGGTGGATGGATGGATGTGTGTCCTTGAAGAACATAATCCTTTAGAGCATAACAGGTAAAGCGCTGACTGCTGGCTGATTTAATGATTTAAAGTCTCTGTCTGGGGCACCTGAGTGGCTCAGTAGGTTAAGTGTCTGACTTTGGCTCAGGGCATGAACTCACCGTTCCTAGGTTCGCGCCCTGCATCGGGCTCTGGGCTGACCGCTCAGAGCCTGGAGCCTGCTTCAGATTCTGTGTCTCCCTCTCTCTCTACCGCACCCCCACTCGCACTCTTTCTCTCTCAAAATGAATAAACATTAAAAAGTAAATAAAAAAAATAGAGTGTCTGAAGGGC